CACACAACACTTAATTTATTCAGGTGTTTTAAACCATCAGCACACAACACGTAGTTTATTCAGCTGATGGTTTAAACACACACACACACACACATAAAAAGTTTGTTTGTTATCTGGGGATAGCTGTCCTAATTCTGAACTGATAGTCCTAGAGACTACACCTTGAGCTACTCTTGTCTGATTGAGTAGAGGGATTTGACTATAACTTACAACACAACCACGCAGAGAGACAGACGTGCGATCCCAGTTTCGATTCCTGGTACAACTAGTATATAGTGATATCTAGCTACTTCAAATATCAATCATTGTTAAGTTACAATCACAATAATGTAAAACAATACACACGTTTTTGTTTTCTTACCAAAGAAGCCTGGTCTGTGGCATAGGTTGCATAAACAAATGTTCAAACTACACAAACACACATTAACTTCAACATTCACAAACAGATGTAATACATTTTCTTACGGAATCAGTTTAAAGTGAAAGAACCAAGTACTTTGCCTAGAATTTCGATATAAAAACAACATAAAAATAAATAAATCGCGTGTTATTATGTGACTACTAATGTTTACTGTGATATTTCGATCCCGGTCAAGATAATGTGGTCACCCAAGGGCTCGACTTGTGGAACGGTTGGTTGTTAACAGTTTTACAACTATTCAAAACAAAAATATTTTGTTAGTTTATCTATAAAACTTACAAAATACTCGTATCAAAGAGGCCATATTATTGTCAAATTTATAACCTTTTGGAGAAAGCCAAAAACATAAGTCTGTTACACCTTTAAAATCCCATAACCTAAACTGAATCAGTCTTTAAGCCTAAGATGTATACGTAGCGTACCACTAACGACAAGGCTACAGAATACAAAGTACTCGTATTAAAGAGACCATTTTTATTCTGAAATTTGTAACCTTTTGGAGAAAGCCAAAAACTTAATTTTTTTTCACATTTAAAATCCCATAACCTACACTGAACGATACTTGAATTTCTATTAGTCTCTAAGCCTAAGATGCATGTAACGACAAGACTACAAAATATTTAGTAAAGCATTAAATCTTTTTTGCAGAAAACGAAAAACAGAACATGCAAGTACTTACCAAAGTCTTGAATCTTTAGTTTGCATATACAGTAAATAAATATTAATTTATTTTTAATGCATATAAACGATCCCCCAGTGTTTATTGTGCCCCATGCCGGAGGGTACCGTGACGTAATTTATAGTGATTAACATCAATCAGTCAACTTACTTTAGTGTCACTTTTTTTTTTGTTTCAGCACGTGACAATGTACAACGTCATCGACATACCGTCCTTTGACAAAGGGCGAATAACGACGCAATCAAATATATTACACTGTCGCTTATCTCAAACCACATCTCGTGCACTATTACATTTTCAACCGCATTTGTTTTGAAAGTGCTCTAAACAGCTACTCTTCAACGACTCCAGCGTTTATCTACGTACACACAAGACTAACAATACGACAATAAATAAATCGTAAACATAACAACTGTGAAAGACAGTTGTACAGTTTACACAAGTGGTAAAAACATTCTAGGCCCACCACTAGTCAAAACCTCTGGGATTATTCTTAGAAAATAATAATATATCAACATTAATAGAATTACCCACAGGCCCGTAACACTAAATACGTTATGAAGAATCCAAAACAAAACGCCGATTACGTGTTTTTTAATTTCTTTTCGACGCCATTTTAATTTTGTCTCGGATACTCTATAAAGTAGTCTCTTGATTGGCCGGTTGTAAACCAATGGATTTAATCCAGTTTTTTGCTAACAGTTGTTGATTTTTACTCTAAATAATAATAAGAAATATATTGTTATTTGCTTAGCGTATATTTAATTGCTCTGTCACACAAAATCACAACAAATTTAAAGGGCTCACCCAGAAATCCCAAATCTAACACAAGACACTGACTTATTATGAACATTAATCAGAATCCTGAGCTTTATTGGCACATTGACAGATTACATTAATCCTGTACACATCTCTAAGAGTGAATTTGTTTTAGCTACACAAATGGCCGTATCTGTGCTATAACAGCTCCTAGTTTTGAACTAACAAGACTGCAGAGAAGAGGTGGCTAGCCAGCCAACAGCACCCACTGCCAAACTCTGGGTCTGGTCCTAATTGGCTGAATAGTGGGATTTGACTGTCATTAACCATTGGATTCATAGTCCGGACACTGACCAGTTTGGAGAATGTGCGTATATTTCTTGTTGAATAATGAAGTTTCACAAATTAATTGTTCAATAATTATCGACGAATATGCAAATTTAACGTAATAGTATGTACTAATCCAAAAATGGTGTGTGTGTGTGTGTGTGTGACACCTGATCAAGTAGTTTCTAAACCTAATTACAAATCCTCCACAGTAACTATCAAATAAGTTGATCTACACATCAACTTATTCCGCCAAACACGAACAAGCATGATAACATGCTGTTATCCTGCTAATTAAAAAGAAAAAAAGGTTCTTAAAACTTAAAATTCCCCTTTTTTAACGAAATGGTTCCTAAAAAAATTTATTAAAGTTGCTTTGAGATTAATCTCTTTAAATATTGGTGTCTCAGGCATATTTTTTGGGGGTGGGGGATCAGCCAAACCCCATCTAGAGTCAAAATGTTTCCCGAAATCTTCTCAATGGTTTGAGATTATAATATACAATATTCGATTAATGATGTAGTGAATAAAAATTATCAATCTTTAGCTTTGCCCAGCTCGAGTGCGATTTTTTAAAGAGTAAAAACGTTATTTCAAAGATTTTCTTAGTCCTTTTGTTCCTCATGAAGTTAGTAATTTGGTTCTTAATTCATGAGTTTTCGAGGGGTTACATGCAAATTTTCAGTTTTGCGATTTTTATGGACGTTTTTGCGGTTTTTTACCACTACTTCACCCCCCTGCTGATGGATCTTCACCAAATTGGCATGAAGGTTCGTTGGGTCCATGCAAAGTTGCGGTTTCACATTTCGTGTTTTGCAGTTTTTATGGGGGGGGGGTTGCGTTTCTTACCATTACGTATAAGGGAAGCAACTTTTCATGTCCTAAGATAACCTTTCATTAATCATGAATTTACATAACTTCTGTCCAGCTAGTTTTAA